CAAGTTGCAAGAGCCGCATGATTTGCACGTTACTGCGGACGCCAACGAGGTTTATGTGGCGGAGACGAAACCGCATCGTCTGTCGAAATTCGTGAGAGGTTAGGCGTTTTCTTGAAATTATTCGTTTTTCAACTTTTTTTCGTCGGCTTTGCCTCCGTTACTGACGTGACTGGAATAACCTGGGTAATGATTGACCGGATTTACTCGAGGACCACGCGCACGAATGCTTTTCGATCAAAAATTTTGATTACAGTATATTTTATTTCCGAGTAAGATTGACACGAACCCCATTTTTTGGACTCCAAAACAACCTCTTTTTCCAAAGCTAGGAATACTCAAATTTGAATTTGGACATGAATTGAACCTGAATTCAACTCGTTTTTTCTTGTTTTCACGAGAATAACTTATTTTGTCAAAATTGTTCTAAAATTTCCGATTCGTATCAATTAAAATGCGCACCTGATTTTCTGACAATTTTTTTATGATAATCATCCTATGACGTACGTCTCCTTTTCTCCTCTCAATTTTGAGAAGAAACGTGCGAGTGGTGATTAGAGTAATTTGTGGTGAATACGGTAATATAAGATCCAACGTTGACTAATTGAGCCTAGCATGGAGTAATCGGTTCTTGAAGAAATTCTGGCGACCAAGTACGATTAAATAACGAATCTTTCTACTGAAATACAGTACTGTTCAGTATTACGTACTGCGATTTGTCGCGTTGAATACAAATTTTGGAACTCTCTGGTTGATTGAAAAGCGTTCATTTCACGAAACCCCGTCTTTAAAAATGTTCCTGAATCCACGAGGATTCAGAAATATTAGTTACTATTTTTTTTTTCGTGTATTGTCGGAACATCGGGCGTTGAAGTCTCTCGAGCGTTAATTTTTTTTTTTGCACTTGCAGGAAACTTGGGTAAGCTGCAAAAATCTGTGAAGGGTACGAGTGCTTCTTCGTCATCGTCGGAAGCGGAAGAGAAGCCGCAAGGTTATTCATAAAAATTTTGATGAATTGACAATTGTTTTTAATCCTTGTGATTTGTTTCTTCCACAGTCGAGGAGTTGAAGCCGCGAACTTTGAAAGATTCCTCGTCGCAGTCCGTTGCGAATTTAACTGCGACACGATCGAAGTTCAGCGATGGAAAGCGGTTCAGTTGGGGAGTGGAAATCATGATGGTTGCTGCTGTTCCGATTTTAGTCCTCGGGCTCATCCTGGTTTTGCTGAGACTGCGGAATCGCTGTGAGTGTCTTTTTGACTTTGTAATGAAGGTCTGTTTTTAATTGCAGTAATTGTAATGAACTTGTGGGCGTATTTTTG